TCTGTGCAGCTATAGTTGATTTAGTGATGAAGAGAAGGGTATTTCACTGAATTCCTTCCATTCACGTTATTGGAGTAAATAGAGAGAAACAGACAGATTTTCAGCAGGGAATATTAGAATAGCTCACACTAACTGCTCGCGAAAGGGGGGAAGTCAGGCGCGCGCGATGGAGGAAGAAAACGGAAGGGAGGAAGGGAGGAAGGGAGGAAGGCTGCGCGGATGGAAGGGAGGAAGGCTGCGCCGCCGGCGAATTCGCGATCGGAGATTAAAATCTCCAGGAAGGAAGCTGCGCGATGGAGGAAGGCTGCGGGATGGAGGAAGGCTGCGCGATTAGATTAGGGTTTAGTCCAAAAATCGTTGGGGTCTGGTTCTGTTTGGTTTTAGTTAGCGGGTTGGGTCTGTTCGCGTTTGGGTAGAGGTTTGGTCGGGTTTGGGTAGAGGTTTAGCTGACATGGCGGGTTTAAATGACGTGGCGGTCAATTTTAGGGTCAAAAGGTGTTGATTAGGCGAATCCGTCAGCCACATCATCACTTAACGGAGGCCGTTAACGGCGTTGGACGGCAGCTAACGGAGAGTGACCATAAATGAACTGGTTTTGTAAAGTTAGTGACCACAAATGGATTTAAATTTTTTCAGTGACCAAACATGAACGCTTTTTGTAATGTTAGTGACCAACCATGCAATTAACCCGATTTAAGAAAGAACCACCACAACCCAGCAGCAAATCAACTGAAGAAGAAAATAGAGTTTTCTGGAAAATTGAGTATGAATGCAGCAGAAAGAAAATTGCAGAAATCTAAAGAACACAAGGCATTTTTAACTTGGTTAGTTCAAATGCAATGATTTACTTTCACGTCCTAGAATACAGTACGCGAGACCCTTTATTTTTTTCTTCTGTTTTTGACTCGAAAGATACGAAAACAAGAAACAAGGAAACGCGAGCAAAGATCAAATGCCCGAAATCCAAGATTCCTAAACCCCAGCTTAGAGAACCTCTACCTTCTCTGTAGATGAACCCCTTTGTAAACCAACCCTATACTGCCCCGCTTACAGAGTACATTCTCAACACAAACCCAACTAACCAAGACTTAATATAGAGAGAGGAAAGTAGCCGTTGAGCACAAAGATAGAACTACAGCAAATTTCTTCCTTTCCCTTTCTTTGCTCCTGTAATTTAGCAACGGTCAATGTAAAAACAATCTCTAACTTGAATGCTCCAACATAATGAACATGACATGTTTCACAAATTAATATATATAAACTGAAGTTTAGTTACTGTTGCAAAAAAAAAAAAAACATTTTGATACCCCAAATTTAATTAAAGTACAATCAATATATATAAACCTGAAGTTTAGTTACTGTTGCACAAAAAACTACATTTTGATACCCCAAATTTAATTAGATTACAACTTAATCATGTACATTTTATATTTTGATATCCCAAATTTAATTTTAATATCTATAAACCTGAAGTTTAGTTACTATTGCACAAAAAACTACATTTTGATACCCAAATTTAATTAAATTACAACTTAGTCACGTACATTTTATATTTTGATATCCCAAATTTAATTTTAATGTAAATTCATTGAACAATTATGATTTAGTATCTAAATTTTATGAGATTTTTGTGCCTACAATATTTTAAATTTACATATTGGTCAAATGTTTAGATTTCACTTGAATCCATGAATCCAATCCACCAATCCTTCAATCCTTTTGAACCAATCCATGAATCCAATCCACCATAACATAAAAGTATAAATTTAGTTTGTACTACAAAAGATGTTGTATCACTCAACTGTAGGAGATGATTTGACCATTTTATATTTGCTCATTACGTGAAACATTAAATAAATGATAAATGAGAGCAGACTCTAAAATATTGCAAAAGCGAATTAATAAACTCATTTAGTACATTTACGGGGTACTAAACAAACTTATACTAACTACATGTAACAAAATATGCGACATCTACATAAGCAAATGTTAATAAATTGCTACAGCGAAAAGGGTTGACTGTTGTATTCATGGTCAACTAAAAGAATTGGTCAGAACCTTTTCAACATCTACTTCCTCTTCGTTTCATTTTTTCTCTCGCCTTCCATAAACCTAATTAGTATACTATTTTTATGTATTCAAATCAGAAGTATGAACGGGTTCATACACGACTCACAAACAGAAACAATCTAGAGAATTAATAATTGAACCATGAACCACTAACTTTTTCATTTCAATGTCGAGTCCAATTAAAAATAAATATATATGGTTATTATTTATTAGAAAGTCATCATTTTCCACTATGGGATTTGAAGGCGTGAAATTTTAAGCCAGTTCCAGTTTGTATTCCTTTTGCTTCTCTCTAGAGTTTCTCTTTTTCACCCCGGCTAGAATTTCCCAAACTTATACATGGAATGTTTGGCTAGCTATCTACACATATCAAATAAATAGTTTCCTATTTTCTATGAAAAAATCCACCCTCAATGTAAACGAGTTGACCTCACCCATCTATGTTTCGCCGACGACCTTCTGATTTTCACCGAAGGGTCGGCAAGAGCGTTGTCTGGTGTTCGTCAAAGTTTGGACAGGTTTTATCATCTCTCAGGGTTGCAATGCAACCCTGATAAGTGCGAAGTCTTTTTTGGTGGACAGGCGCATCAGTATAAGGCCGTTGCTTTACATGTTTCTAACTTCAAAGAAGGGCGTCTCCCGGTTCGTTATTTGGGCTTGCCTCTTACCTCAGGTAAGCTTTCTAGCCTTGACTGTGCGTTGCTAGTGGATAAGTTGACCAAGCGGATTCGTAGTTGGCGTGCAAAAACCCTCTCTTATGGTGGTAGACTTCAGCTTATTGAATCGGTTTTGTATTCTCTGGTTCATTACTGGATGGCGGTCTTTATCATCCCTAAGAAGGTTATTAAGGCTGTGCAGAAGGCTTGTTCTGATTTTCTTTGGTATGGAGACAAGACAGGAAGAGCTAAGGTAGCGTGGGAGCACATTGCTCTGCCGAAGAAGGAAGGTGGACTGGGCTTGAAGGATTTAGTCACTTGGAATGTGGCCTGTGTTGCTCGGCTCCTATGGCTCATTCTTATGCAGGGAGGTAGCTTCTGGGTGGCTTGGATCACACGATACCGTCTTCGAGGCTTTTCGATTTGGGAGGTTAAGAGAACGACTGCTGGTTCCTGGACTTGGAAACAGGTCCTCAAAATTCGATCTTGGCTGCAATACAGAATGGGGAAGGATACTGCTGGTGATGTTACATGGCTTGGGAAGAAGATGGTTCGATTCTCTGTGTCCACTGTTTGGAGTACTCTGCGTTCCAGGCACCCATGTGTGGCCTGGTGGAAGATTATATGGGGCAAATTCACTCTCCCCAGGTGCAGAATCTTGACTTGGCTCGTTCTAATCAATCGCATCCCCACAAGAGACAAGCTGAAAGCGTGGGGCGTTGCCGCGGATGATAGTTGCCCTCTCTGCAACTTATCCAGTGAGTCAAGGGACCATTTATTTTGTGAGTGCCCATTTACTTTGGCTTACCTCTCTTCCCTGTTTCGAACTACCATTCAATTACCTACCAAATGGGATGATTTGGTTCTAGATATGTCACGCAAAGCTGCTAGGAATGATAACAGGAGCTTGTTGGAGTGTTCTATTTGGTGCTGGACTATTGCGACCATCTGGCGTGAACGTTGCAGCAGGGTTTTTGGGGCTGCTATGAAGCAACCCGAGTTGCTGGCCTCACTTACAAGGGAGGAAATGTTTTTATTTTGTAATGGCAGCATAGAATTTCTGATTATGTTACAGAGAATTCCTGACCTGTACAGGATCATCTCTTCTAGTAGCTAGCTTCTAGTTTCTGTAGGAGTTTTTGCTGTAGGCAGTTTATTTGCTGTCTTGTATTTTTCGACTCATGCTGGTTGCATCGAGTGTGCTTTAATGGAATCCACTAATTACCGAAAAAAAAAAGAAAAAATAAATAATTATCATCTTATATACATCACCATAAAAGGAATTAAGTCTCAACTATGCAAATTACAGTCCGGTACCTAAACTTAATAGATCTTTATTTTTTTTTGGCATATAAGTCCTCAAATATTGATCGAACATTACATTTTAGTAACTAAATTTTTTTTGTATTACATTTTGGTACCTAAAATTTTGAAGTTCTACAAATAAGTTTAATTTTTGTATGTGTAATTAAAACACCCTCGAATAAATGGGTATCCATACAACTCATACACATTTAGATTATGTAAGTAAATATCCATACCCTACCCAAAAGCATCTACAAACTTCCAACCCCATATATACCTCACTCATACCCTACCCATAATCAATGGGTCGTCTTAGGTTTAGGTAAATATCATTTATTAGCCAAAATTTTTGAATTATTTTAAATTGGATATTAACCACTATATATCTCTTCTCGGTCAATATCATATTGTCAAGTCAATATTACTAACAAAACTGCTAACAAAAAAATAATTTCAGCTAATAATACTAACAAAACAACATAACGGACCACATAATACATCCCCATAGGCCATCTCCGCCCGCGAGGCGGGCATCACCACCTAGTAATAATAATAGTGGAATAACAATAATGACACAATCATAATTCTAACAATCCCGTATGCTTAAAAGCGACCTTTTCTTCGTAGTTACAGCGAATTTCACCGAAGTTCCATGCCTTAGACATTGATTCTAGGATTGATATTTAACTGTTGGAGAAGGAATCGATGGTGGCCTCCAGACGAGTTCAACTATCGCTAGCCCAAAGCACTGAACTCGAGCCCAAATTGCCATGAGCCATTGCTTGGCTCACGAGCAAACAAATCCAAGAAGCTTGACAATCCCCATATCTTAAGCTAAAAGCTTTTCATGCCAAAATTTGGGGACCATTCTAAGTTCATAAGCTATTTAAAAAAAAAAAAAAGAACATCCATATTTGGTTTGAAGTTAAGAATAAATAAGATATGGTTGATCACTTCATATGATAGATTATCGCATTAAAACATTTTTTTGTCAACAAAAAGGAAACATAACACATTTATTGCTTAAGAAAATCACAAATTACGACAGTAAAACCCCTACTCTCGATCCGACAATGTAACCAGAGTTGGAGTGTATGTGTGAGCTTCACATGGCCAAGTTCTCCCTTGCATGTCTAGACGGTCGCCAATTTCTTGTGTTGCAGGATTGAAAATATACACTCCATCATAATCTATCACATAATCATCTTCACTAACCATTCTGTTAACTTGTGGGGAGCAAATATGTGTTCCCTCTTTCCATACTTCCAAGTAATAATTGATCTCGAAAGGTGGCTGGAAGGTGAATAATTTAGTCCATGATTCAACACTGCCATACTTCAACAACGCCCATACCTCCATCGGCACATCATAACGACCCTTATATGCTAGAGTCGCCACGAATGACTCCTTCAACATATAACATGATTCGGTAGCGAACCAAGAATCACGTGAAACTGGGTAAGGCAGGCTGGATTCAGGTTTTTCAACTTCAAAGACTTCCTTACTCATGTCGAAAGAAACGATTCTACAATTTGGTTTATTTCTCAGAAACCAGTAACATCTCTCATTTCGAGGTGCATCCCGTTGAGGAATATATTTCATAAATAATGTCCTCAGATGCATCAGGTACTCTCTTCCACGAATCGTTCTTGAGGCTGTATACCTGAGATTATACTTCGCCGTCAACAGAGGAAATTTCGAAATTTGAATCACATACATAAACAAAAAAAAAATCATATGGATTCACATAGCAACATTCGAAAAATAGATCACCTCTGTATAAGTAAACGGTAGATCATTGACTTTATAAGATCTCTCAGTAGGAATACCTCCACAATCATTGTATGTTTCGATGTAGGGCACAAACCTCACACTCCGAACAACTTTGTAGTCGGTTGTTTGAGGATCGAAACCAAAGCCGATTATCTCTTCCGCAATTTCAAGACCATTAGGGAAAGGACAAAGGGAAAGACAAACCGGCAGGCACTTGATCTCAGAAGTTTCTGGATTCCAGAGAATGATATCTGTCATATTGTTGTCAACCCATTCGTTAATACAAAATATGCCATCGCAACACCCAATGATCATTGGGCTGAACATTGTAGAAGAATGGCGAGGCTTGTAGGGGAAGGAGGGCATTTCCCTAACAATAATATTATTAGGGCCTGCAGAAATGGGGCGAAGGGTGTCGTAGGAGTGCAAGGAGTAATAGATGACATGTGAATCAACAAAGGCTTCTTCAGCCCCCGTGAATAGGATCCGAAGAGTTTTTAGATCACTTAGATTTTGGAAAAATATGATTTTGTAGATGAATTGGGGATCTGAAAGGAGAATCCGCCATGATCTACAAACGCAACGAAAACGAGCAATACACACAGCAGTTGGTAATCTCAGAAGAATGTTCATGATTATACCCTCCTCCAGGAAGGCAATAAGATTTTCATTTTTGTGATTGTAATTCCCGGTCATAATCTGTAAGGGGAACATGAACGGGGAAGGAACGAGTTGTTATATTAATATGCTATTAAGGGCTTAAGCTTGATTATTATTAATATATATAAAGAAGGAGTTGAGTTACTGTTGCCTAATTTCGCAAGCTGATTGGGCGACTATCATTATTACATTTTCATACCACAAATTTAATTAAATCACAATTTAGTTATTATAAGGTACATTTTACATTTTGATACCCAAATTTAATTTGAAGGTAAAATCATTGAATAATTATGTTTTGGTATCTCATTTAGTACATGTATGTGATACTAAACAAACTACTACTAACTACCCCAAATTTAATTAAATCACAACTTAGTCACTATAATGTAGATTTTATATTTTGATACCCCAAATTTTATTTTATTGTAAAATCATTGAACAACTATGTTTTGGTAACCCATTTAGTACATTTACGAGGTACTAAACAAACTTCTACTAACTACTTGTAACAAAATATGCGACATCTACATAAGCAAGAGTCAATAAATTGCTACGGTGAAAAGGGTTGACTGTTGTATCGACGGCCAACTAAAAGAATCGGACAAAACCTTTCCGTCATCTACTTCCTCTTCGTTTCATTTTTCACTCGCATTCCATAACCCTTTCTTTATTTCTTTCTTTGCCTTCTTCGTCTAACCCTAATTAGGATACTATTTTTATGTATTCCAATCACAAGTATGAACGGGTCCATACACGACTCGCCAACAGTCTAGAGAAATAATAATTGAACCATGAACCACTAACTTTTTTTCAGCTCAATGTCGAGCCCAATTAAAAATAAATATATATGATTATTACTTATTAGAAATTCGTCATTTTTCACTATGGGATTTGAAGGCATGACATTTTAAGCGAGTTCCGGTTTGTATTCCTTTTACTTCTCTCTAAAGTTTTTATTTTTCATCCGGACTAGAATTTTCAACAATTATGCATTGAATGTTTGGGGGTGTAATCCCAATTTGGGGATTATCACCCCCAAAATTGAGCACCTAAATTTTTTGTCTATAACATTTTGGTACCTAAACTTTTGAATTTCTACAAATAGGTCTAATTTTTGTACGTGTAATTAAAACACTCTTGGATAGATGGGTATCCATAGCCAACTCATACATATTTAGATTATAGAAATAAATATACATATCGTACCCAAACCCATCTACAAACTTCCAATAAATATACATATTTAGAAATAAATATACATACACCCATGATCAATAGGTCTACTTGGGTTTAGGTAAATATCATTTACTAGCCAAAATTTTCTAACAAAAATTAAATTGGATGTTGACCGCCATATATCTCTTCTCAGTCAATTTACTAACAAAATTGCTAACAAAAAATTGATTTTAGGCTAATAATACTAACAAAACACCATAATGGGTCACATAATACATGTCCATAGGTCATCTCCGCCCGCGACAAGGCGCGGCATCGCCACCTAGTATATATATATAGATGCAGTCACGGAGAAGAAGCGAAAATATAGGGAAAATGAAGGTAAAGGTAAGAAACAAAACAACAGAATTAATCTCAAGATAGGCGAATGGAAAGAGAATATGCATCAACATCTATCCAGGTTAATTCTTCCACGTTCCTAGAGACGGTGAAGAAACAGTCCACGACTGTGAAGAAGGAAGGAAGGAAGGAAAGTCGACCTAGAAACCATCAAGGCCAACCGAAAGACGTTTTGCTCGCAGGCCTCTATTAAAAGTGATAACTTTGGGTATCATTTTGTAATATATGTATATATTTGTTTAGCTGTGTGAGCCGTGTATATGAAGGAATAGCTGGGGCGGAGCTAGGTAGGCTCTCGGGGGCCCCAGTCCCCGGGAATTTTGGAAGTTAAATGTAAAATTCACGGGCATCTTGAAAATTTTGTATAAACCGAAAAACTAATAGTAATAGTTAGATGCGCAATAACGTACCAAAAATTTCATGACAGTCTAGCGGATGGGGAGTAATTGCGATTCTACTTGGTCACGTGTTTGATTCCTCATATTTGCCATTTGTCGGGTTTTTAATCCATATTTAAATTTTCATTTTAAAAAAGCGCAGAACTAAAGTCCTAGCTAATTTTGTTTTTGGCTTAACTAAAGTCCTAGCTAAGTTTGTATTTTGTTTTTGAAAAGGCTGAATTCCTAGCTAGCTAAGTGCATATTTTATTTTTGTCATGGTCACGCCGACGGATTGGGGTTGCTCTCGACGGGTCTAGGATTTTTGAATTGGGGATTTTCTTAGAAGAGGGGATGAAGGTTGGAATAGGGGGGAAATTGTTATTCCCCATCTATCTCCGTTTAGGGGTAAAGGTTAAAGGATGACGAGCAGTTCGGTGGAGACGTCGGAAATCCGATCCCAACATCGGCGGTGCTGATGTTGGGGAGAATTTGGTAGTGGTAGTGATTGGGGTGGGCAACGAAGATGGAGGGAATAATATAATTTAATTATTGTTTTTTTAATGATTTTTCCTAGAATGATTTTTTATTTATTTTTAAATTAAAATATGACATGGCATACTTGTGGCAAGTGTTGGTGAGTTGTCGATGATGTGTCCGGTGAGTTGGCCGTCAGATCATCGTTCCGTTAATTAGACTAACGGTGTCACTGACGCCGTCAAACTATGTAACGGAAATGGCTATAATTATCATCAAACTTTCAAAATTCTGGCTATTTTTGGTATTTCCCCAAAATTGGCTATATTTGGCAAAACCGTCAAAGTTTTGACTACACAAGTGTATTTGGCCAATAAAAAATAAAGTATTTTTAGACTTCTAAATCAAATAAATATGTCTATGCATTATTTGTACGTTTAGTGGTAGGATTTTTATTCATTAATAATAAATATGTTCAAATATTTTTAGACTTCTCAATCAAATAAATATGTCTACACATTATTTATATATGTAGTGGTAGGATTTTTATTCATTAATAATAAATATGTCCACTTAAAATAATTATAGTCTTTAGTTTGAAAACTAAATGTGTGTGATTTTAAACTATTGGGTTAGTAGCCAATTAATAATCTTTAATTGATAAAGGTTCCATATTTGCAAACATCTTAGTTTTACGCTTAAGTAAAATTTCAATGAAATGAAGGTGAAGAAGAAAAATTTTGTTGATGGAGGTAGTGAATTCGAAAATAGCGATAGTGAGTAGTGAGATTGTTGAGAAGAAGAGATAGGCTATTGGTGATGGATAGAAATGCTTTAGTGATGAATATGAAACTATAATTATTGACAGAGATGATTATACATATGGTGAAGCAATAGAAAAGAAGTCCATGAGAAAAATTATAGTAATTTCTACTCAAGAAGTAAATCGAATGTGGTTTGATTAAGTTTTTTAAGAGTTAGTCCCCTTCCATTAGTTCTATTTTTTATTTTTAGTAAGAACTTTCGTTGATAAACCGGTTAGCATAATAGAAAACTTTATGAAGTATGTTCCTTTTTTATTTTTCCATTAATTGAATAGTTCAAATCTTTTGACTTTTGATATCAATAAAAATATATCTTGCTTAGTACAATTACAATTGTTGCTTAAGTGTTTGAAATAATATGTCCATCCAACATGCATGGTACTTTTCTTGATGAGCCAATTAGCATATCAAAAAAATATTATGATGTTTGTTACGTTTTTATATTTTCACTAATGTGATAATTTGACTATTTTATTTTTGAAATAATGCATCCGGCCAATGAGCCGAGTTTAAATCTAGTGTGTGAAGATGAAATTGTTGCCTTGCATTCACTTTGATTGCTTGTTCTAGATAAGTCAACTCTTCACCATCTCCTAAATCTCGAAATTTGTCTCTCTATGCAGGTTAATTAGGGTACAGTAAGGGTGGTTTTGGGGCTGTTGACAAATGTGTTGATTTGTTTTATTTGTGCTTAGAGTTGGACAATTATATTTTAGATGTTACATTTTGAATTTTGAATGGGATTGCAATAAGAGATTTCAGTACAATTTTACATAATGTGGGATTTGTGCAGAAAAATCGCATTTGGAAATGACAAAAAAAATTAGAAATTGTAGTCCCAAGAGATTTAAAATCTCACATTCTTATTTTTTCTATTTCAAAACTAATTTATCTTCATTTGTCGAATTCTTAGAAGTTGACGTTCAGGGCAGTCAAAGATCACGGTTAAGGAGGTTAAGTTCACGACCGCGATCTAGCGGTGCTAGCTCGCAATCTTAACCGCCATAAGATTTTAAATACCCAGTCTTGACTAGTTTGTTCATTCTTTCTTGTCCCTCAACTTCCAACTCTTATTTGAGCATGGCATCTCTCCACTACTTTTCCTTATCCCAAACCTTAGCATGCTACCAAAGTGCATAATTCATGCATTAAGAGATCACTTCACACTTTGTTTCAATTTGATTACATTTGAGGTTAGCAAGATCTTCTTAACTTCTAAGAAGAGATCATAAACTTTGTAATCTTGAATATCTCCCTTGTCATGACTTGAATGTGCTCCCTTGCTATGGATGATTCTTTATTTAAATTCTTCTAATTCTTAATTTAATAGTTTATTGTGATTGGGGATGTGAAAATTCTTTTAAGAAGTAACCTTATACCTCATTCCCATGTTAATTTCAAGTCTCATTTTCGCACTCGCGAGGTGTTTGATGAAATGCTTGAATAAACCATTTGCCTCCATTGCATGCTCTTATTTCTCTTTCCACTCGCTATTACAATTTGTATGCTTTGCTCATCATGGCCATCCCTCTTTAATGTTCAAAGCCCTTATATGAGTCTATTTTACCTTACCCATCTATCACCGAACGTTTGAAATTTGTGCTTAGCTCTCTCTATAGGATTGGGTCAGACAAAGAAGGCCGCAGAGTCTTCCGCCTCAGTTAAGGGTGGGCAAAGATCTCATCACTCATATCTCTTGTTAGAAGGGAAGGTAAATGTGGAATATATCGTTTTGCCACCCGAAGTTATGGTGAGCATCATTATTTTGAATGGGAGGTCCACAAAGAGTTGGAAGTTG